ACAATGGATAGGTGATATGGCTGGGTATGGATACGCTTGTTTCATCATCGAAAGCGAGGGTTGCCGAATTGGGAGAGAATGAAAAGTAGCTGTAAATTGAAATCAATTTATTTCACTCATGCTGTTGTTTGTTTTTTAATTCAGCAGAAATTTTTAAGAACTTTGTTTTCAAGAGCTCACTAACCTCTGCGATTTCTCACGCAGCTTGCTACAACTCTAGAGGCGTAAAGTCGAACGACTCGAACTCGGCGACTCTAACTTCCTCTCTAGATTCACTAACAGACACTAACCGACTGCGCCACAAATTCGATTGGACAAGTGAAACCGGAAAGGCTTAAAAGGCTGAAAAATCCATGATAAAAATCAGTAATGCATGCTATTTTTAGAGCTTTTTGAAGTGAATCTAAAAAATTGAACCAAATACAAACCAAGCGAAAAAATAATAACAATAAACCTAACATAAAATAAAACAGAAACATCAAGAGCAGCTATTGGGTTGGGGAGAATGAGTCGGCGCCCAACTTTAAAGGGACTTTTTGCACACATAAAGCCTTCTTTAAACATACGTTTGGTTTCATCAAAAGGATCCACTATTTCTCTACAAAATCACTTTTGAGAGATTCCACAAAGCTTTTCTTTCGTGGAGTTTATGAACTTCCAAACGCAGCTGGTTAAAATGGCAAAGAGTCCGACTCATCATTTGAACAGTTTCTTTCACATAAACCTTCTTTGGTGTTTATATAAAAAAGATAGAGCACATTCAATTACATAAGTTGCCAAATTTGCAGGAAGATCCCATCAATGGTTTTTTCTAGATGACAGTTTGTAGTTTTTGTGGAAAGATGACCTTTTCTTGAGCTGAGACGATGTTTGAGTTTTCTTTTAAATGTCATTTTGTAGAGAATTAGTTAACCATTCTACTCATATCAAACGCATATTATTTGACGAAGTCGAATAGAAGTTTTAGACATTTTTTTGATTTTCGGCGCCGACTCATTCTCCCCAACCTAATACTATGAAGCTCTAAAATCAACATTGACTTTCCGCATCCCTGAAAAAACATTCTTACTCAATTTTTTGCTTCTCAAAGTATCGTTAAATTTTTTTTTAATGGTAAAAGGCGTCGTAGTGGTAAAAAGATAAGAGATTTTATATTATTTTCTTTTATTTTTTTAGAGAGAAAGAAAATTATCAGTTGAATTAACGAGTTTTGAAAGTTGACGTAAAAGCGTTATGAAATGGCTACGCCCAATGTTTTTGGATATTTGTGCGGTTGAGGGCACTTTTTTTAAAACCACTTTATCTGACGTAGTTCTTTTTTGCACGTGTACATTTTTGTTGATAAACGGTTTATTGTAACTCGATCTAATGTTACATGAAATTTTTTTTCATGAGTTACATGAGATTTTTATGAGTGTGGGCGCCCTAATGGTGACAAGATAAGAGATTTTTTTATTATTTTCTTTTTACTTTCTAGAGAGAAAGAAATTTATCAGTGAAATTAACGAGTTTTGAAAGTTGACGTGAAAGCGTTATGAAATGGCTACGCCCAATGTTTTTGGATATTTGTGGGGTTGAGGGCACTATATGTTTTTTTAAAACCACTTTATCTAACGTAGTTTTTTTGTACATGTACATTTTTGTTAATAAACGGTTTATGGTAACTCGATCTAACGATTTAGGTTAAAAGTCTGTTTGTTTTCTTTATGACTTCTATATAACGATTTTTGATATAACGGCTCCATTTCGCCGTCCCGACAGAGTCATGAAAGTCGGTAAGTGAAAGCCGGGCTTCAATAAATAGTCAATGCCAAAGTGCCAAAAAATAAATGCCAAAAATCACTCCAGTGTATTATCCCGATTCACGGAGTTTCACCGGAAGAGGGCGAACACTGGTGCTGTTGTCATCTTGGGGGGTGTATTTTAGATCCGTTTCGGCTAGTACTTAGTCAAAGTTAGTCCAGAAGTCCAGAAGGCGAAAGATTGAGCTGTGATAATGCACCTGCAAGGTACGCACCTCTCACTTATCCAGTATTGCTTGTATATATTGATAAGGGAAAATAGCGCATAAGGCCTCCGCCGAAGATGACAACAAGGTTGTTACCTGAGTTGGAACAAGGTTGTTGGAAGAACCTGTTGTCATCTTGGAGGGGAGGTCTTATGCGCTATTTAATAGAAATAGAAAAGACATACCGTGCCTTGCGTACAGCTTGATGTTCTTGGTGACGTGATATATATCAGGCAGGGCTTGTGCGTAACCAAATCTTCAGAGAATGTCCCTTAAATTTTCCGAGATGAGAATGTCCGTTAAACAGGGTTCATAGCGCATAAGACCTCCCCCCAAGATGACAACAAGTTTTACCTGTGCCGTCTTAGAACCTTTTGTCATCTTGGGGGAAGTCTTATGCGCTATGAATGTCCTTCTAGTTTTTTTTGGTGGTTTGTTGTGATTCGGATTAGAAATCTTCCTCGTCATCGAGTCTTTTAATGTTTTATTTTTATACTTCTTATACTTACTTCTTGCCTATCCCTGCTGTTAAAGAGATAGTAATTTTCCCCCTACGCCTCCCCTACGCCTCCCCTGGGCCACGGTGGGAGCCGGGGGGTCACTCGGCTAGGGTTTACCCCGGGAGCCGCGCCTTACCATCGTGTATCCGTCCAACGGCGCAGGCGCTAAAGCACCATGGGATTTTACCGAGTCTGGTTCTCACTCAGGCGCACGGAGAACATCCACTTCCATGATCCTCCACAAAAATTAATGCTTCTTTATGACCCCCATAAACGTTGTTTGCCAGAAAGGGGGCAGGACGAGCTGAGAACGAGGACGAGCTGAGAACGAGGACGAGCTGAGAACGAGGACGAGCTGAGAACGAGGACGAGCTGAGAACGAGGACGAGCTGAGAACGAGGACGAGCTGAGAACGAGGACGAGCTGAGAACGAGGACGAGCTGAGAACGAGGACGAGCTGAGAACGAGGACGAGCTGAGAACGAGGACGAGCTGAGAACGAGGACGAGCTGAGAACGAGGGACGAGCTGAGAACGAGGACGAGCTGAGAACGAGGACGAGCTGAGAACGAGGACGAGCTGAGAACGAGGACGAGCTGAGAACGAGGACGAGCTGAGAACGAGGACGAGCTGAGAACGAGGACGAGCTGAGAACGAGGACGAGCTGAGAACGAGGACGAGCTGAGAACGAGGACGAGCTGAGAACGAGGACGAGCTGAGAACGAGGACGAGCTGAGAACGAGGACGAGCTGAGAACGAGGACGAGCTGAGAACGAGGACGAGCTGAGAACGAGGACGAGCTGAGAACGAGAACTTTCCGCATCCCTGAAGAAATATTCTTACTCAATTTTTAGCTTCTCAAAATATCGTTACATGAAATTTTTATGAGTGCAGCGCCCTAATGGTGACAAGATAAGAGATTTTTTTTATTATTTTCTTTTTACTTTCTAGAGACAAGAAATTTATTAGTGGAATCACCGAGTTTTGAAAGTTGACGTGAAAGCGTTATAAAATGGCTACGCCCAATGTTTTTGGATATTTGTGGGGCACTTTGCTTCAAAGCCACTTTATCTGACGTAGTTTTTTTTGTACATGTCCATTTTTGTCGATAAACGGTTTATTGTAACTCGATCTAACGATTTAAGTTAAAAGTCTTGTGTTTTGTGTTTTCCTTATTACTTCTATATAACGATTTTTGATATAACGACTCCATTTCGCCGTCCCGGCAGAGTCATTAAATCGATCGACTGTATAATACAGGGTATGACGAAATTACCTGGACAACTTTTTGGGAAAGTATCTAGGAAATGTCTAATTTATTTCGAGAGTCTCAAGTGTTAAATAGAGAATTGTAGCCCTTAATCTTGGCAACAATTATCTACCAAAAACTTCCCGATTCGACTTATAGAACTCATTTAGCAAGCACTTGAACCAACGCTAGTCGAAATCTCTCCGGCAAATTTGTCATTTCGCCCCTTTTCTCGATAAAAACTTTTTAAAAATAAGTTTTCCAATATTTCTTTAATGGAAAAATAGTGTTTAACATCATTAACTAACATTAAGAATCAAATTTAATTGTTTTGGCTGAAGTGACATAATCAAAATTGAAGTTGTTGTCAAGCGGCCAAATGACAGATTCGCCGGAGAGATCTCGACGCGCATTCAAGTGCTTGTTAAATGAGTTGTATAAGTCGAATCGGAATGTTTTTGGTAGATAGATGTAGTCAAGATTAAGGGCTACAATTCTCTATTTAACACTTGAGACTTTTGGAATAAATTAAACGTGCGACTATTATTTTTTCAAAAAGTTGTGCGGGTAATTTCGCCGCACCCTGTCTAGCTGCTAAAAGAAGCATTTTTCTCAAAAATTTGTTCAAAAATCTCAAAAAATCTCTTGAACGCATTTGTTGTTGGTCTTTTAAAATCCTTTTGAAAAGTGAGAACTCTATCTACTTGTTGTTGATTTGTTTTTTGGAATAACACCCGTTTTCTTCAATTTACATCACTTTCCAGGGTTCTGATCAACAAAAAAAGTTGCTTAAGAAAATCGCTGAAGAGGCTTTTCCTGTAAAAGAAAAGCTTAGGGCTTCTATCGACTTTCGAAACTTTAACAACAACCAAAATGGTTAATATTTATGCAAAGAGTGACTTTCACTTGGTGATTGAAGCCTTTCGGAGTGGTGGCTTTGTTCAAATTTGTTCAAAACTCTCAAAAAATCTCTTGAACGCATTCGTTGTTGATCTTTTGAAATCCCTTTTAAAAGTGAGAACTCTATCTATTTGTTGTTGATTTATTTTTTCGAAATAATATTCATGCCCGTTTTCTTCAATGTTTACTTCTTATCTTCAAACTTCAATGTTTCAGGGTTCTTATCAACAAAAAAAATTGCTCAAGAAAATCGCTGAAGAGGCTTCTCTTGTAAAAGAAAAGCTTAGAGCTTCTATCGACTTTCAAAACTTTTTAACAACTTGAACAACACCAACAACAACAAAAATGGTTAATATTTATGCAGAGGATGAATTTTACTCGGTGATTGAAGACTTTCGGAGTGGTGGCTTTGGACGAGTGTCGATCAATCGATTCAAAAACGACAAGTGGGGCGTTTGTAAAAGCTAACACTCTAAAAATTCTGTTCATTTTGATAAATTGAGAATGGAAGAAATGCGACCTTTTTTTTGCGCACCCATTCCATTAGCGCACCTTTTGCGCAGCTCTAAAAAGCTAATATGAACCAATTTCCATTTGAAAAATTGTTTCTCTGTGATTTTAAGGTGTAGAATTGAAATTTTGACATATCAGTGCTTGTGGAAGCAAACGGACAGAGTTATAGATAGGGAAAAATCAAAGATTTTCTGAAATTTCATCTACCCTTTTTATCTTTCAAATTGCTCAAATTCAAATCGATCTAAACGTTAAACGTGATACTTAATAAAAGTATCACGAAACTTTACGCCTTGACCCTTTTAAAAGCAATTTTAAAAAAATTTTCTTTTTGTGGTTACATAGAGCCTAAAAAATACTATCTAATGGTAAAAAGAAGATTTGAAAAAGTTGATTTTAACGGGGATAGGGGGTAGGCTAAATTCCGCAATTTTTTTGCGCAACTTGGCCCTTTGCATAACTCACCATAACTTTCTTCTAAGTCGGCCAATCTTTATGATATCAATTCAAATGTTAATAGATGTATCAAAAAAAACTTCAAAGCTTATCCCGGGGTAGGCTACTTTGCGCCAAATTTTTTGCGCAACTTGCCCCTTTGCGAAACAGGGCTATTTGCGCAACTGGGTCTTTTGCATAACTCACCATAACTTTCTTCTAAGTCGGCCAATCTTTATGATCTTGATTTCATTTTGTTGCAATTATTGAGATCTACAAAATGAAATCAAGATCATAAAGATTGGCCTACTTAGAAGAAAGTTATGGTGAGTTATGCAAAAGACCCTGTTGCGCAAATGATGTTGGTTTTAAAATGATCCTTTTGGGAGAGTCCAATAGTCTCCAAACCTTTTAACTATCTGTAAATGATCTTGATCTTGAAGCTCTAGTGGATCCTTGACGTTATCTGTGCTAACCATATATTACATATAATAGGGGGTAGGCTAATTTCCGCAATTTTTTTTGCGCAACAGGGTCATTTGCGCAACTAAACCATAACTTTCTTCTAAGTCGGTCAATCTTTATGATTTTTATTTCATTTTGTTGCACTTATTGAGATCTACAAAATAAAACCAAAATCATAAAGATTGGCCTACTTAAAAGAAAGTTATAGCGAGTTGGCGCAAATTAATTGACAGCAATTAGCCGACCACTGCTTAGCTTTTCAGAGCTTCATTTTGGATCTTTATCTTTTTCGTTTGGCGCACACAGAGTTGTAATCTAGTTTGGTCTTACTATTAAAGGTTTTTGCTGAATTTGGATCGCCTAATCTCCTAGAACTTTAGAAAACACTACTTTTTACACTACACTACTACGTTTTTTCCTCTGCAACTTAATTACAGTTAATTAATCTTAATCTTTATGATCTTGATTTCATTTTGTAGATCTCAATAAGTGTAACAAAATGAAACCAAGTTGCGCAAATGACCCAGTTGCGCAAAGGTCCAAGTTGCGCAAAAAAAATTGCGGAAATTAGCCTACCCCGGGATAAGCTTTGAAGTTTTGTGATACATCTATTAACATTTGAACTGATCTAATCGAATCTTTCTAGGTCTACTTTAGGCTAGCCATTCTTTTTGTTTTGGTTTCCATCAAAACAAATTGTTATAACTTATTTGATAGAACTATTTCTCTTTAAAGCTCTCTCTCTACTTTAAAAAAAAGTAGTTTACGCGTCTTAAACGATTAAAACTTTAGATTAAAACGATTAAAACAAAGGTCCGATTGAATGTGCTTTTAAAATGTACACATGAAAATCGATTTCTTTTCAAAAGCAAGAATGCAAGAGTAAAAAAATAGTTGAATTTTCTGAATTAGATCCCAATTTTGATGCGTAGATGATAGTTGCTGTAAAGCTAATTTCTTCTGTGGACAAAACTTTTACGAACTCTTCATTTCTTTAGTAGAGAGGTGGCAATCAAATGGCCCAAGGATCCCAAGGATCGAATGGCCCAAGTGTTTATCAAAGATGAGATTCGCTATCACCAGATCGTCTCCGACTCTCGCTACGTTGTCACAGTTAATCAAACTCAAATATGCTTTTACTTTTTCGCTTGTTTTAGTTTTTCGGTAGCGTACGAGATAAAAAACGTGGTATTTTGCTTGATCTTTGCTATTTGGAGACACTTCATCATGGTGAGCTTTTTCAAGATTTTAACAAAAAAAGAAACATGGACAAAATCTCACACTGCAAAGATCACTTATAAGAAAATCGTGGAACTTGGCTGGAAAGTTTTGCCCCACGCGTCTTATTCACCTGATCTGGCTCCTTCAGATTACTTTTTGTTTCGGTCGCTGAAGCACTTTTTGAAGGGAGAAAAGTTCGATGATCATGGTCAGGTCATAAAAGCAGTGAATGACTACTTCGCCTCAAAAACTCCCAAGTTCTTCGAGGATGGGATCCGGGATTTGCGCAGAAGATGGGAAGAAGTCATAGATACTAATGGAGAATACCTTTCGAATTGAAAGCTCTTCTTTTTGTGTTTTTTTGAAATAAATGATTTGTTGCATAAACGCGTCATTATTAAGTTGCCAACCTAATAAAACGAGAATGAAGATTGTATTTGATCCAATAGAAGCTCTCCCTCTCGTACAATCGCATAGTCGCTATTTTTTCTAAACAATTCTTTTCTGAAATTACTTTTCGTATTAAAAGAAAGCCGAATTCAAGAGCTTCAAGAGCAAGAGCTTCAAGAGCAAGAGATAAATGCTTTGTTGAACATTTAGTTATTTCATATACATTCCCAATAGTTTAAACACAGCAAGGAAAACAAAGCGTTCAAAATTGTTATATGATTCTGTTGCAACCTTGAATACGTGATTACCTCCATAATTATGGGGAAAGGGGTTTGCAGATATTACGGTAAAACTTTAGCTGTTCGGGTAATGAATGGAAAGATCGCTGGGAACCAGAAAAACTCCAAGCAACGATGACCGATTGGAAAAATGAGGTAAAGTTTTGAGATCTTTTGAGTTTCTATAAAATAAAGTTCATGCTTTAGATTCTTCGTCATATTCCTTTCACTCCACCGGCACTTTGTAAACAAAAAAAACGCTCTTATTCGACCACATGGAACGGTTCGTTTAGCACACTCTTTCATCATCTTTCATTCATTGTAAGGTGC